TGATCCGTGAAAATAAATCCGCGAATATATTTGTTTTCCTATATTTCACATTAACCTCATCAAAAATCAGTGAAAATAAATTTCAAGCAAAACGCCCAAAAACCTTTTCAGCAAAAATTAATTCCAGCGAAAATAAAATATTCCACAGTAGTTGAAGCGGGGGAGTCTTCACCTGCGCATGCGGCAGATGGCCATAGCGTGTCATTGTTTACGAACAAGTGTATACCCATGAGCCTTTGCGTTTTTAGCGTGTGTTGTTATCGTCGCTTGGGACTAAATTCCCGCCCGTGCGTAGGTGACTAGCCTCCCGCTTTAAATACACGTGTACACTTCAATAATGATAATCTATTTGTTTTTCAGGCATCACATCTCCGTTTTGGCATTCTCTGCACCCACGCTGTTGTTACAATTGGAATTGTAACTTACTTGATCATCGAACTTTGTATTCAGTAATCATAATCAAGAAGATGAACACTGCCGCAAACTGGGAACACTAGCTTACCGCGCTGGGCTCTCTTCATATGCAAGCATCGCTGTGTTAGTTTGAGCTACGAACAAAGCTTGCTGGTTGTTTTTATTTCTATTAGTTTTGTTTTGTTTTTTTATTAGGAAATATCCAGATTTTTCTGACCAACGCAATATCTCATAAAAATCTCACAAAAATCAAATTTCTCATATCGTCGTCATGCATAAAATATGACTGGCCCTCCCAATATAAGATGTTAAAGTTGTTCTTGATCAAGTAATTTCTCCGGAGATCGAGAGTTGAACAATAATTCTTATTTCAGATATGAGGATTTTGAAGTCAAAGAGAATCAAATATGATAGTGTGAGTAAGGATAGCAATGAATGCTTAAAGGGCGGTGGTCGTCGCGCCGCGTCCTGTTCGATATAGGACTCATAGAGACCTATACAACGCGTGTAAAATACATTGTTTATTTACATGAAATTCGAACACGCGCTGTGCAACGACCACCGCGTTTTAACTAGAAACAATGCATTATGCACACTTAACAATACACTCTACCCCGACCCTGTGCAACATGGAATGACACGTTTTCTCGTGTTCTTAAACGTTGAATACATCTTGATTGAAACATACCTGTTTTCCACGTTATATAAACAAATTCATTGTAATCGGGGTAAAGTTTCTGCAATAATTGTAAATGCAACCAGTATGGATTGCATACAATACAAATTATTTGGTAATACATTACACAGCCCCTAAGCTCCGTTTTTTTTACTTCATACCCGATACTATATCACTTATTCTTTTGCATTTCGAAGATGTTGAATTTGCCTCAAATAAAGTAATTGTACTCATATAGTTATATTTCTCTTAGTTTTTGTCATTCAAATTATGAAGTGAGTGTTTCTCATTGAAACTAAAAATCACGTATGTCGTTCGCACGAAGCACTCTGACTATAACTTAGTGCTGATATTTGACAAGCACTACTCATTAGTCCTGTCTCAACAAAAATGATTACAGTAGTTGATATCTTTGTCAAAACCGTCTGCTTACGAGTTATCATGTATCCCAAAGCAATGTGCGTAAAATAGCGTCATGTGATATGCTAATTTCACAGATACCTCTGGAAAAGTGTTTTCATAAAATACACATCAGAAGTGCATCTAGACAATAGTAAGCTGTGTATTACCGTCAGTTGAGTGAAGAATGTGGATAAATCAGTTAAAATTCCTTTTTATTCTTAAAAACATATGTACACCAAAAAAATATGAAAGTTTAATTACTTGTCCATGCTTTTGTAATATCTTCTCTTACATTGCCACATCTGTGTTATCAGGACTTTTATTCAAAAAGTTGAACATTTTTTTTTTAGAATTTTTTTATAAAATTAGTTCGAGGGAATTATATCATCAACACAAAATTCTATCAAACACTTTATTTAAATATATTGTGTTTCAATTGTTACTAAAAAAAATAGTAGAATTGTATCATTTTTCCATTCAAAATAAGCTTACTTTGTACTTACTTCACACATAGAAACACAGTATATTTAAAACTAGTGCACTTTTGCAACATGATGACCCCCAACTGAATTGCTCGATGTAAAACTGTTTTTAATTTCAGTACATTAAAATCACTGCATCTAGAAAATTCAATATATAATCATATTGTTGTTTGCAATATACAACTTGCTTTGTAATATTATTTCACATTAAGTTTATTTATATGACTCAGAAACAGGATATACACACAATATAGAGGATGTTCATTTGTAGAGATCATGAGCTCATATATTTGGAATCAAATTTGTTGTTTCTACATTTAGACCATCAACAGCTAAAGCATACCATTTAATAAAAACAATGGATGCAAATGAACGGCGAGAACCACATTGTCACTTGTTTTTTTGTCTCTAAAATAGTGATTTCCTCCTATCACCAAGGTTACTGTTTTAAATACCATGGTTACATAGACCATTGGAACTGGTCTCACAGGTATATAAATGGAACACTATTTGAGGGCAAAACACAAGTCTCGTGGTTGTTTCGCTCTGACACGAGATCTCAACAGTCATTTGCGTCAACGAACTATCCATTCGTTTACATCATATTAAAGCACAGGAAAACTAATGAAAAATGGTATAATTTTCTCTGAAGAGATGATGGATTACATTCGAATTTCAAATCTCCACAGTAATTTACTGAATCTGAGGTAACAGTTCATCGAATGTTCATCCAAAATTGATTGTGGATAAAGTAGTTTTCAACAGATGGATGTTTACAAATCACACATCATAAAAATAATCTGAAAGTCAATCTTCGTTTTTTGTCCTGAAAAAATGAAAACTAATTATAAGATATCAGCAATCTGCCCCATATTATTTTTCACCAACATATCATAAAGTCTCCCAACCGTAGATCCAGTCTGTTTTTCCCATACGAAAAGCACATTTTCCATTGGAGTATCTTTCTTTTGTTCCCATAGTTTTATACACCAGTTATCTATTTTCAGTTGCTCTGCAATCAGCCTCCAATCACGGCCTTTGTAAAAGAGAAAATGAACCACATTTAATGATATGAAACACCTCAAGCAACTCAGAATGTGTAAAGAGTGGACTGAATTGGTATACAATAATTCACATACATGTAATATACAATATATATGGTATTTAACAAGTGACCACACACAATACACTGACAATTCAAGCATAAAGTGGTACAGTACATACTAAATGTACACATGGATACTCCCAGAAACAAACCATGAATCAAATTTCCCCAAATTTATTTATTTACTTACCATCTGGCCTTTGGATGCTAAGTGCTCTTACCACCTCAAGTCTTATTTCAATCGGCATATCCTTAATACAAACTTCCCTATTTAATTTGGGACCTTGAGATTATGAAGAAAAATGTAAAAATAATTTAGTATATTGTACACTTTCTGGAATTATTTTTACTGTCAAAACAGTTTGTCAGTTTTGTGTGAAATTTATTTTTAGTGATGCAATAATATTATATGAAAAATATGTCTTCAGCATTTTATGTAAAATTTAGGCATTCTGAAGATTTGGATACCTAAATGTAAAACCAACAACAAGAATAGACACTACAATAGAATTTACGATGCTTATGCTTCTCACGTTTTTATTTTACATTTTTAAAGAAACAGGCAACCTGATAGTCAAAATAGCCCCACTGTTTCAGCAGAGCCCAGAGTGTTCCCCTAATGCACAGAAGAAACTAATCTAATAGAAGTCCATCCAAGTATACATATAACAAGCATCAAAGCAATAGAAGGAGCTGTTTTCAAGAAGTCAACAATAACATTTTTGATCAAAAATATTTGCTAAAAATAGAGATTTGAAAATATTGGACAAAGGTCCACCTAAGGTACAAACCAAGTGAGCTGGTAGATTTCAAGAAGTAAAAAATAGCATTTTTTACCAAAAATGACAAAAATATTCACTAAAATAGAGAATTAAATATATCACCCTGAAATAAACAGTTTTTACAGAGGTCCACCCATTGTATCTATATACTATGTATCAAAGCTATTGCACTGAAGGTTTCAAGAAGTCGAAAATAGCTTTTTTTAAAAAAAATGGCAAAATAGGAGAATTGAAGTTATCGTCATGAAATGAACAAATCTGACAGAGGTCCAACCAAGGTACCTACATACCAAGTATCAAAGCAATTAAGCTAGTAGTTTAAATAATTTTTTTAACCAAAAATGACATAAATATTTGCTAAAAATAGAAATTAAATAAATAGAATAAAAATTGAAAACAAGCAGCCTCTCGACTGAGATAGCTCCGCTGTTAGCAATGCACAATTCAATTAAAGAACAGAAGATATCATTAGAAAATGAACAATATGCATAGTATCAATGCAATGGGACTTGCTGTTTTAAACAAGAATTCAAAAATATCATTTTTGACCATAAATGATTGTGGTTTTTAACAAGAAGAAAATATCACTTTTTACCAAAAATGACAAAAATATTCATCAAAATTAGAGAATTGAAGATATCATCATGAAATGAACAAATTTGAGAGTGGTCCATATGTAGTATCTCTAAATGTAATATTAAAGCAATTGGACTTGTCGTTTTTAACAAGAAGTCAAAAATATCACTTTTTACCAAAAATGACAAAAATATTCACCAAAATTAGAGAATTAAAGATATCATTACAAAATGAACAAATCTGAGAGAGGTCCAAATGTAGTACCTATATATGTAATATCAAAGCAATTGGACTTGCAGTTTTTAACAAGAAGTTGAAAATATCACTTTTTACCAAAAATGTTCACCAAAATTAGAAAATTAAAGATATCATCATGAAATGAACAAATTTGAGAGTGGTCCACATGTAGTACCTATATATGTAATATCAAAGCAATTGGACTTGTTGTTTTTAACAAGAAGTCGAAAATATCACTTTTTACCAAAAATGACAAAAATAATCACCAAAATTAGAGAATTAAAGATATCATTACAAAATGAACAAATCTGAGAGAGGTCCACATGTAGTACCTATATATGTAATATCAAAGCAAATGAACTTGCTGTTTTTAACAAGAAGTTGAAAATATCACTTTTTACCGAAAAAATGACAAAAATATTCACCAAAATTAGAGAATTGAAGATATGATCATGAAATGAACAAATCTGAGAGAGGTCTACCCAAGGTACATATACACCAAGTATCAAAGCATTCAGGCTTGTAGTTTTCAAGAAGAAGTCGATAAAGTAAAACATTGACACGGACGACGGACAATCACTCATATGATAAGGTCCGCTCGACAAAGTCGACAACGGAGCTAAATATTGCCATGAATTGAACAAATCTAACAGAGGTCCACCCAAGGTCCATATCATGTATCAAAGCAATTGAGTTGGTAGTTTTCAAAAAGATTATGGATAAGTAATTATTGACAGACGACGGATAGAAAATCACCTCTATGAACAGCTTTATTCTCTCATCTATGATGACAACAGTGATTATGACCATAGCACCTAACATAACATTGAAATTGTAAATTAAAAATGAATTATGAGCTTTCATAAAATATATAATTTGATATGTAACCACCAATCACAAGCTTGTCATACTGGGGGATGTCCATATTTCTACAAATACACAAATTCATTTTTGTAGATAAAGCCAATCTAATTTGTGTAAAAATAAAATAAAAAATTGCATAAAATTAAAAATATGCATAAGTAGGATTATTTTCTTTTGCCTCAAAATGATTTATTTGGTATAATTGAATAAAATTCAATATAAATTTTTTTATGCTTACCTGCTGTGCCAGCAGGTAGATGTTTTCTGAGAAGTTCAATGATGTCTTTTCTTTGATGTCCAATAATTCTAAGAAGACTGTACAATGGGGGGAAATTATCCAGATCTTTATAAATTTCTAATAAACTGTAGGCACTTCGTTTCATAAATTTCTAGGTTAATCAAAACAAAAGTGTTAAATATAAATATCTTATATTGACAATTTTCCCCCCACAAAATAATGGATGAAGTTTGCAATAACAGTAAATTAATTTTATAAGTGAAAGTTGTGCAGGTTGACAGGTCACCAGTCTGATCTAACAGCTGAATGATATTTAAGTGCGCCCTCACTCATCAGGTTTCAAACACAGACCAAAATTAGCCTAATGGTTGATAATGTTCAATAGGGTTTCAATTTCCCAACATGTGTATGATATGGCGCACACTCACAACAAGTTTGATGTTTAGCTTCATGAATCTCTGTGAAAAACATTAAAAATGTTTAGATACTTTAATATATATGAGTATAATATGGCTGTTATTTTATCAATATCACAAATACAAGATATGTCTTTATTTTCACACTGAAGACAGGTATATCGGAAGTAGTTTAGGCCAGACTTTTATTATCCCTTGTTTCGCGAACCCGCCGATTGATCAGGAGCTGAAATAAAATTTTATTTCAGCGTAATTTTTCCGTCTGTCGCATAACAAACCCAAGTTGCATTTTCGTGGGAGTATCAAGATCAAAGTACCGCGCAGATGAGAAAACAAAATTATACATGGAATAAATTTGTATTTCATTTCTTCCCTCCGATCAATGATCTCACTTACAAATCTTTGAGAATCACACAAATCTAATGGAAAAAAAGAATTAATTTTACTTTTTATTCCGCCCTCCTCAAAAAAATTGCCTCATAAAAACTCAAGAAACAAGGAATAAAAAAAGTCTGGCCTTATGCATGCTGGTCGTCCCATGAAAGTATAATTGGAGGAAAGAAAACGCACAACCAATTCTTGCGTGTGAAACATTGTTTTGACATAATAACAATGAACCATTGAAAACTACACACAGGTAATTTAAATATTGTAATACTGTAAAGGGGTTAATTATTCACTGGGTTTTAATTTAGCTTATTTCGCTGACTGGAAAATGCGCTAAATTAAAACCCAGTAAATATGTAAAATTTAGCATAGAACACATTATCTTAATGATAAAACCATGAATTTAAAACCCATTGAATATGCCTGAAATGGTAAATCAGCGAAATTTAAACCCAGTGAAAATTAGTCATTTTACAGTATGAGTGATATAATATCGGTAACGACAAATTTTAGCAAGAATCGTGAAAATTTTACTGAAGACATAAAGGCACAGTAACTTTTGCAACGTTTTGTCCTCATGAATGCCATAGAATTAATAGAGCAGAGAAAATTAGTGATGAAAATTGAGGGGTTTATGAAGAATGTAATGTATTGTATCTTCAGTTGACTTTTCTTATTACAACCAGTCATTAAAGAGGAAAAATAAAAGGACTTTAATTTTTTACCTTAATTTCATTCTTTTGTGACTCTGAGAACATTTGTCTGGAAGCTTCCATTATTGCCTTGATTTCCACGTCTGTCAAATCGTTCAATTCTTCAATATCATCTATAAAATCATCGTTGTCAAATAAATCCATGTAGTGCTGTTTGGATTCTTTTTTTTATTCAAAAGAAAATGAAAGATGTTTATAATATAATGTCAAAACGTTACTTAAAGCGAGAGGGTTATTAAGTGACGATACACGCTAAAAACACAAAGGCTCATGGTTAGACAATTGTTTGTAAACAATGACACGCTATGGCCATCTGGCGCATGCGCAGGCGACGTCTCCCCCACTTTAAACTGTATAGATGTTTCCAAGGCAACCAGTATTTAGTGTTTACAGAAAAGGATGAATTGTTGTAGTGACAATGTGTATTGGTATTTTTTAATATAGTTGTGTGAATAATTACTCAGTCTAGAATCTATGCAATGCTTGGTTATGAATTTTGAGTAAAAGCTGGAGATCATGTGATTCCGTTCATGCACAATTTAAATTGGCCATTGACACTAGAATAGTTTATTTTTCTCGATGCTAATCATGCAAATATAGAGTGTGTATACTGAAATTTACAATCACTAGATCATAGCAAGATTTTACTATTACTAGCAATGATGGCGCTGCCATGTAGGAATGCTGCAAAGATTCCAGGCCAATAATTATCATTTGTAAATTTGTGGCTGCATACAGTATTTTCTCTATTAAAAGCGCATCACAAATAGAAGTGCATGTGTTGTATACTGAATCATTAAAAATATTACTTATTTTGACAATAAAAACATCTTTATACGTAATTTATACGTGAGCTGTCGCAGCAACATTAAAAGTAATGTCTTTTTACAACATTGCAAATAAAAATAGGGTAGGGTAGGTATAATTTTTCATTTTAATAAATAAATATTTTGTTATTGTAATCTGGCAATTGTTTCCAACAAGGCAGTGCTGGTTACTTATTTGTACATACAGTTATGTCCAGGATTTTGACAATTTTACAATGATGCATATTACATAAATACTAGAAACAGGAAGTGAGCGCCCTCTAGTGACCATTTTTCTGTGTTTTTTTCGCACCATCCAAAATCTAGGCAAGGGTGGGTAACCAGTAAACAGACTTACAGTAATATTATATCTGAATTTCCTGGTTCCGTATGCATGTTTACAAGAAATTATAATACGTGTAAAGCCAGAGAAACCTAGAAACAGGAGTACATTATGCATGGTCTGAGTACAAAAACCAGAACACATTTGACATTTGATGTTTTCCTGAATGGCCTCCATTTTTAGAAACCAAGACATTTTGTAAGACTAGTGCTGATTAGCTGTTGAAATAGACTAGTAAGAATTAAAGCTTTCACAGGTCATGTTTAAAGATGCTATAGCATGCACAAAAAACAAGTACAGTGCAGATATCCAAACTGAACATAACAACTAAGCATACTTATTGAGTGAAAAATTAGAAGCCGGATACCACTGTTGGTCCTAATGATTTTACCATCAAATCTATGAAAGTATTTTCGCTATATTATGTTTACATACTAAAATATTCTGTAAATTTTCATAACTTTCCATGTTCACTGTTTAGCTCCTGCTCATATTTATTTTCTCACGATGGCGTATTTGTTCGCATTTGGCTAGTCACTGTGCACAATGTTGAAGCTGGTACAGGTGTGGTCGGACTTTTTTGTGTTAGGATTGGGTTAGTTTGGTCAGGGACAATTAGTAGCTTTAACACTAGTAGCTTTCTAAGTTGCTTTGTATTTGTATTTCTGTGCTTATTCATCTGCGAAAAAATTGAATCTTCTATGAATGTCTTTAAGTTTGACTGAAACTTTCTCATAAAAATTTGGGTTACTGGAGAGGCTAGGCTACAATGTTTAGAAAGTCACATTTCATTATTTCTAATGATGAAAAATATTCAGTTTTTAGTCCTGTAACAAACATATTTAATATTTTAGTTTTGGAACAAACATGTTGGTTTTATATCTCCAGGTTGCCTTTAAAAGCTTGTGAACAACTATGGCAAACAGAGTCACAGCTAAGCTTATGAATTAAACTTTTCTTTCTATCAAATAACTACATATGCTCAGTTCTGTAACAGCCAAATCATCTATTTGCCCCAGTATGTTTGTACTCAGATTTAGATTCAGAATACTAATCCATAGTCATTTTACTGAACAGTTACACACTATTTTAGTCATAAATACAGTGATTTTCATTCATAAAGATATGGATGTTTTGTTTTAAATAAAATAATGATTGATGTATCATAAAGTTTGAATGATGGTTTAAAACAACATGACCAATCACAATACATTGACAGATACATGGGAGAAAATCGGCCATTGATTGAAGAAAACCTGCAAAGACTAATGAGTAAAGAGCATCAACCAAAAGGTGCTATTAGCCAATGAAAGCAATTTTTTTTGATTTAAATGAAGTGCAATGTTTTCATAAAATTCACTGTATTATTGTACATCAAGATTTTGACTGATTTTCTGAAGAATTAATATTGGCTTCAATCCTATAGAGTAAAAACTTACCAGGACTACCAGTACTTATGTTCAAATTCTTCATATCATCAACAAGTGCATCTTGATTTTCTGAAATGAAAAATAATTTTAGCTGAACTGTTTTTGTGTTCAATTTGGATACAGGGTTCTATAGGATAATGCATTTTTTGTCGCCATTTCTCATTAAATTATTGATATTAATAATTATTAATAATTATTAATAATAATGAAGTAATTAGAAAAATACTAAAACATATGCACTCAGGCAGTATGAAAATACATCAACCTCCACTACACAATGGTCAAGACGATTGCTGTATTGCTTTCATGAATAATATGAGGTTAATACGAGGATACTGCAAAGTATGCAGGAAGACAGTACAGCGGGAGTATCGACCAATGCACAGTGGAGGTCGATGTCTGTCCGAGTGCACACTTTGAGGTATCCTCGTAATAACCTTATTATTATACATCTTTTCCTTCCAATGATACATCATGGGAATTCCGAAATTCAAAACGTTTAGAACAAATTTAGCGAACTTCTTTGTGTGGGGTCCAGTGAAACCCTAGGGGCAGCCCTGTTTGATTTGTATTATTAGAGGACGTTTACGCGTGTAATCGTTGCATATTTGGAATTCGCGTTTCCTAATATGGTTGGACGAATATACCCAGTGCAATACTGCAAAAATTACGGAATGGTGGTACGTAACGTACGGTGACTTACGGCGTTACGGTGACAGAAGTATAATAAATTACAGTATTCTTGTAAAACCTCATACTAGTACATTGGAAATTTATTAATATTTGTAACTATAAATACAATTCATTCTTATCGATAACAATGTCAGTAGATTAGTAGTATTTACTCTATTAGTAGCACATATGCCTTATAGTATGTAAAGAAGACGAATTTATAATAATATTCCAGTCATAAATTAAATGCAATTTTTGGGAGATCAGCACTTCTAATAGAACTAGTACAGGTGTACATTAAACTGAACAAAATTTATAAATATTGTGAAATACTATCACCATGGAAACCAATGTTAAATTCTGAATATGCTCACAACTAGATTTGGTGGATGAATAAATCAAATGGAAGTCAGTAGTTGGGTTGATATTCAGATTCAAACATTATGTAAACATTTAAATCAGATACCATTACACTTACCTTTTATTCTTGCCATGTTCATTTTATTTTAAAACACACCTTATGTTTTGAAAGCAGAGTATTCAGAAAAACTTGCATATTTCATTTCACAAATCCAGATTTCACTTTCTGCAGGAGAGAAGAAATATTTGAATTATCAGATCAGAATGTACATGCATGGCACCATCTGGAAATATACAATACTACTGAAATGGAATAACATATAGCGCTGTTCAATGTGTGCAGATTATATAGTTCTTTTCAACCTTATTGCATTGCGGCATTTCAGTGATTTGCTGTGAACAGACACTGCAAAATAACATGAATACATCTGTCACTATTTTAGTAGTTTATTACCAATTTGTTTTATCCTCATGCATATTCATGAGGGTATAATGACACCAGGGCAGGTAACATTCAAATGTCATCAACCTAGCCAGAAAGTAGCAGCCCTGTCTTACAGAATAATTTTAAATAATTTAGTTAGGGTACCGAGTCAACACTACTTAGCAGTAGATAGAGACCCTAGTGGTTTGTATGATGTCATTGTTTCTATTGTTCATCTAATTTGTAAACAAATTTTCTTTTAAATTCCAAACAAACAAAACAAGTTTGTTTGAATATACTACATTTCAGAAAGCAATAAACATTTTTTTATATAAAATTAACATAAATATTATAAATTTCAATTTTGGCAAAAAAAAAGTTTTGCTTCTTGTCCTTTGTCACATATATTTTTTTCCAATTAGGCCAGACTCTTATTATCTTTTGTTTCGCAAACTCGCCGAATGAGCAGGAGCCGAAAATGAAATAAAAATAACATTTCATTTCAGCGTAATTTCTCACACCCGCCGAATTGTAAGTGCAAAAAATTGCTAAAAAAAACTTATTTTTATCTTAATTTTTTTTCCGCCCGCCGCATAACAAACCCAAGTTGCATTTTCATGGGAGGATCGTGATCAAAGTACCAAAGTCTCACGCAGATGAGAAACAAGGTTACCGGTATACATGGAATAAAATTTTATTTCATTTCTTCTCTCCGATCAATGATCTCACTTACAATTCTTTGAGAATCACACAAATCTTATGGAAAAGAATTAATTTTTTTTTTTTTTTCACCCTCCTCAAAATAATTGCCTTATAAAAACTCGAGAAAAAAGGAATAAAAAAAGTCTGATCTTAATCTGGTGTACCAGTGAAGTGTGCCACCTATGGTACAATGGAGAAAGTTTGTTTTGTCAATTATAGTCAATATTTAATGCAATATGAAAGCATGATTTAAGAAACGTTATTGTGGTATTGAGAAACCGTAATACAAAAAAATTAAACTGCATAAACTGCATTATTTTCATTAGGAAGCAAAATTTTGTCTGACCGCACAGTTGAAAAAAATTACAGTGCATAAGCGAATACTGGTAAACACCATATAAATGTATAATATTTCACAACAAGTAAGGTATAGATGAAAATGTCTCTACTATCTGAAATGAATTATCTTTCACAATTTAAATACATTCTGTGCCTAAGACAGTACTACTTGTATTATTTGAAATACATCTGTGAATGATTGATTTAAAGCGTTTTCAATAAATTACACATAAAGCCATGATTGAGGGAGACTTATGGGTAATGGCCGAGGTTTTTTTTTTTCTGAACCTTTTCACCACCAGTTCCCTCTTTTTATCACAAATTCACAAAATAGTTCTGTTTATAATCTGCAGAAGTTTGGAACAAAAATAGCCAAAGGTTTTAAGTAAAAACTGAAAATTACTCAAACTTTGTCTGTTGGCTCCAAAATTAGAGTTCATTCCCAGAAATATTGAAAAATATAAGAAACAAGTGCAGACAAATTTGGGTGAGAAAGTCTGGTGGTGAAAATAATAAAACAAGATTATTTTTATCTAGATAAGTAAAATTTTAAGGTTTTCCCGAATTTCTTTTTTGCTAACAGGTTAAAAAAATAAAAAGTTTAGGTACGAATGTAGTTGGCACCATATAGGTAACTCATGTAAATACTGAGTTACAAATGTTAGAGACAAGATTTGGGCCAACACTAGTGAAGATATCGTTGAGCTATCAGCAACATTTAGTAATGTTAGTTCCAATAGATGCGAGTAATCGTGCAGTGAAATTGTTAGTACATTTATTACAAACCTCATTTATTACTTGCCATGGTTTATCAGTGTCCCCTCAGTATGACAGGAATTTGTTTGAAAAGTATCATTTTCTTGGTCAATTTCAAAGCAACTTAGTTAAGGCATTTTCATATTATTTTAGTGAAGAATTTATGTTTCGTAGAAATGAATTTTAGTCATGGTTTTTTGCATTTATGTTTATTTTTTACAAATTGAGGCCAAATTGTAGTGATTAGCAGGACGTGCTAGTTTAAAGGTGGTCATCGTGAACACATGTGCAAGATATGGGACTCATTTGAACAATGATGGTGAGATGTTACCAAGCTTTAATTAGGTATATTTTAGGTGATTGGAAGGTATCAAAGGAGTCATTGTCGGTAATTAGTGCAAGTCACGCTCAGGTCGAAACTCATACTCATGACCTTCATTGGAAGAGCACATTCGATTGTGGGACGCTTATCAACACAATTGTTGCACATGGTGTGGCGCGGCGACCACTGCCTTTTAATGAAGTATCAGTGTTTGCATCATCAAGAAAATTTATCGACCCTGGTTACTATTGATCAAGATAATACGAGTCAAGACAAGCCTGGAACTCAAAGTGAATATATCACTCATACTAGGTTATTTTTTAATACATTTCACATTCTGTCTGAAAAGCATAGTAACAAATTTGATTCATATAATAATTTTTTTTTTCAAATAAATTAAACAAGCAGCCTGTCGGCTGAGATAGCTCTGCTGTTAGCAATGCACATTTCAATTAAAGAACTGAAGATATCATTAGAAAATGAACAATATGTATAGTATCAAAACAACAGTCCACATGTAGTACCTATATATATATATATATATATATATAAGATAAAAGCAATCGGACTTGCGGTTTTCAACAAGTAGTCAAAAATATCACTTTTCACCAAAAATGAAATAATCATCAAAATTAGAGAATTAAAGATATCACAACGAAATCAACAAATCTGAAAGAGGTCCACATGTAGTACTTATACATGTATTATAAAAGCAATCAAACTTGTGGTTTTTAACAAGAAGTCGAAAATATCACTTTTTACCAAAAATGACAAAAACATTCACTAAAACTAGAGAATTGAAGATATCATCATGAAATGAACAAATCTGAGAGAGATCCACCCAAGGTACATATACACCAAGTATCAAAGCATTCAGGCTTGTAGTTTTCAAGAAGAAGTCGAAAAAGTAAAACATTAACACGAACGACGACGCCAGACGACGGACAATCACTCATATGATAAGCTCCGCTCGACAAAGTCGACAGCGGAGCTAAAAATTGTATACTGTAAAATCTGTATTTGAAGCCGCGGCTACTATTAAAATGGTACAAAGCAACAAAGAAGATGCAGCTTCTATTAGAGCATCTACACATATGATAAATGATAAATTTTTGGTTCTCAATTGTTCAAAAAGAATGGGTGCGACTTCTATTAGGGATGCGGCTTCTAATACAGATTTTACGGTAATACGTAAAATCTATTCCTTTGATTTTTATGAATATTTATAAATTTCACAATCCAAACCAAAAAAAGAGATTATTATTAGCTGGTGAGGGAATATTAGCACATTTTCCAATGATGCCATTGTGCACTGCACTCATTGATTGGCTGGTTGGATACAACCAATTGAAACTTTTAAAATATTTATAATAATAAATTTAAAAAAAATAATAATAAAATTAAGGATGTAGTAGAGGTTTTTTTCTTTGAAAATATCAAATTTACTTTTTTTCCCACATTCTCTTATAAGAGTATATAAAGCATGCATTCAACTAAAAAAAAACAATTGTTGCAATGGTTTAAGAGGGTAATACATTTTGGGTAAATCTGAGATACAGTGTGTTTTTTGTAATTTTTTAAGTTTAATTTTGTAAGTTTTTTGTAACGCATAAGAAAACATCGGTATTTGGGGTTAGTCTAGAGAGTTGATCTCGACTCTCAGCTGCTCCACGATGGTGATTTTTGGCATAGGTATTCTCTGATAGCTGCTAATGAAATCTAGCAAAGATAGTTTGTCTACCATTTTTGACTTTAGAAAATACGACACAACTCTCCCCTTTGTGAACTAGCTCTGACACAGAGTATCATATTTCAAAACATTGACAATGTTTTTATGAGGTCAAAATCTAGATCATGCAAAAGTAGACGAACTGGGAAATTGAATTCAAACCTTTTATAGTATCTCTGAGTACCACGAACATCATGACCTTATTTTGGTTTCTTTGAAAATAACACCTCTCTATTTGCACAGTGATCACATGGTTCCATTTTTTTGTTGGAATATTTATTTCATATTATTTGAAAAATAAGCTTTCTAAAAATATATAACTTAATGGGATTCAAAGAATATGTTACTTCAGAAATGTGCTATGCAACTGCAATAGCAATAACCTCTACTACACCCTTAAAAAAATTATATTATTTTAAATTATATTTTAAATAGAATGGGATATTTGACTCAAAAAGGCAAACAATGACATAATTTTGAAAAGAATGTTTTAATTGTAATTTCACCATTTATTCTGTTCAATTTAAATGTGAAAGATCCCAAGATTCCAGACCCATACATTAAGATAGGCAGGAAAGATCTCTTAAACATGTGTACTGTATTGCACTACTCACTGAAAAAAAAATGGTTATGTAAATAGAGTGTTTTGTTTTGGTACACCTATTGCTTGTTGTGCCGTCATCAGTAAATTCATCACTAAATTATAATATTGATAAGACATTGAATAACAAGTTAAATCATTAGGTGAACATATACATAAAATACATGTATTTTTGCATACCGTCGCACACCTATGATTAGTCGATTATGGTTGAAACACCCCTCCATCGCACCCCCCCTCTCTCAGCTTATACAAGTGACTTTCAGCTTAACGTGCATGTACATGCATACACACGGCCTTCATCAGTCCCTCGATAACGGTGTTGGGGTCTGTGCTCCTTCA